TCCTAAAGAATATGCTTTTTCTCAATCACTGTGATAACGAGGTTGCAAGAATACCAACATATTGCCTGCTAGGAGAAAACCTAGACCTGTAACTGCTAGGCAAATGCTCTGGGTTTCAAATGCTTTGAAATCCAGTCCTTGGTTTTTCAAGACACAGCCTTGCTATATATATGGCTCAGATTGACTTTGAACTTGCCGTATAACTCAGGGCAGCCTTAAAGCTGATCCCTCTGCCTCTACTTCCTAAGTGCTGGGATTAGTCATATGCCACTACTCTTGGAACTCTGACTCCCTTGGTTGTTACTTTGAGACAAGGTCTCACTATGCAGCCCAGAATAGCCTTGAACTTGCCACAATCCTTCTGGCTTAGCCTCCCAAGTACAGGAATTAAAGGCATTGTGCCACCACTTCCTGTTTGGGTCTGAATATTTGATGGAATTATCTGTCCTCTTGTTTCAGGGGTTAGAGATTGTAAAATATTTAACAGATTTACTAAAAAACAAAACAAAACAAAACAAAAAAGACCCAGGGCTGGGAGTGTAGTTCACTGGCAAAGAGGTTGCCTTATTTTCACAAGGCTCTGGGATCAAATGAGATAGTTTGGTAGATAAAGTACTTGCTCAAATGTGAGGACTGGAAGTTTGGACCCCCAGCACACACATAAAAGCTGGGTGGGCATGGTAGCTGCTTACAATTCTAGTACTTGGGAGGCAGAGATGGGATCACCAGGTCAAGCTTGCTAGCTAGACTAGCCAGAATCAGAGAGCTGTAGACTTAGCAAGATACCCTACCTCACTCAATAAATAAGAGAACAAATGAGATAGACACTAGACATCAGCTTCAGGCCTCCATAAACACTCACGTGCACACACACTCATACGCATGTGACTATATATACATACACAGGCAAGCACAACATACACAAAGCAGATGAGAAACCCTGAGGAGGGCACCTTGTGGCATTGTTAGAATAGCAAATAGCAACTGGTCAAGACTATAAAATCCCTAGCCTATCTGTTGAAAGATCCACCTTTCCAGTTTCACTGTTCAATCACCTGGTGATAGGACCACCCCAAGGAAGGCAGGTTCACCTAAGTTATGCTAAACAGATGGGTGGAATACCTGGTGCATTAATGAGGTATCTGAAATCCCTCCTCTCTGATTGGCAGAACTAGAAGTTCTGCCAGTCATGTAGAAAGTCTGCCCACTTTTCTGAACTGGTCAGAAAAGTGTTATTTTTCCTTTTCTTCTTTATATCCCTTTTCTAAACATGCTTTCTTTAAGGCTTTGGGGTGCCCCTAGCATCTTGTATTTCTTTACTTTTTCTCTAAAGCTTCCTTCTCCCAGCCACATGGCTGCCAGTCAACCACCTATCTGACCCCCATGCAGGCACTAAACCTGCATGGCTTCATGGCTTTCTTTCCTTCTCTACTACTCCATCCTCCTCTTCAAGGCAGCTGCCAAGATTATCAGCTCACCTGCCCTGAGGATTTTTCTTTAAAACTATAACAAAATTGTAAAAGCTCCCATTTGGGTCCATTCTTAAATTCTTTTATGAATGAGACTAAGAACCCTCTAGAGGACATTCTTTTTCCCTGTTTCAGTGTTCCTGTAGCAGCAATTCTTAATCACTGCTGACTGCTTGTTTTTACCATCACCAGCTGTCTTAGTTTCACTGCTCAAACGACAGAGAAACAGCCTTTCCACATAGAGATGAGGACACTCTTGTCCTATCCTCATCTCTCACTATCACAAAGGACTCAGGTTGGCCTGGCACACAGACACACACTTACTGTCCTCCTCCTATAAAGCTCCTATTGTCTCGTTCCACATTTTCTAAAAACAGATCGCTCCATCATTTCCACAGATCACTCCGTCATTTCTTCTGTCTTGAAGGAAGCCAAAAAGTGACTTGGTATCTTGCCTAGTAATTCAAAGGACAATTCAACTTGCTTCAGGATTGGGTAATTGGTTTAAAAAAAAAAAAAAAAAGCTGGCTGCTCTTAGAGGACCTGGCTTCTTTTCCCAGTACCCATTATGGTGGCTAACAACCACTTGTAACTTCAGTTCCTGGGGTTCAGCATCTTCTTCTGGCCTCTGAGGGCATTTCACACACGTGGTGCACTTATATCCATACAGGCAAAACACTCATACACATAAAATTAAAATATATATATATATATATATATATATATATTGGTCTTTTTGAGACAGAGTCTCCCTGTAGCCCCAGCTGGCCTGGAACTCACTGTGTAGACCAGGCTGGTCTTGAACTCACAGAGATCTGCCTACCTCTGCCTCCCAAGTGCTGGGATCACAGGCGTACGCCACCAAACCTGGCTAAAAATAGGTAATTTTTTTAATCATAAAAAACCCCAAAGAATTCTTAGAGAGGGAAAAAAAAATCCTTCTCCCCACCCTGCCCCCTGTGGTTGTCTAGGATGGAAGTCTGTTTTCCAAAGTTTTCACATTCCTGTAACCTTTGCAGCAATATGTCACCTTACTTAATTATCACATGTATTAATTTTCACTTAATTGTCACCTGCGTTCTGTTTTGCCTTTTGTTTGCATTTTCCCACACATGAGTATAAAAATCCTCCAAAACTTGAACAAGGGGTCTGACTCTTTTGATTTGTGGGTCAGTCCTGCTAGCATCAAATTAAACTTCCTCTCCTCATCTGAAAGGAAAAAACAACTTTCCATTTCTTATACACTATTGTATTCTACTTCTCCACTTCCTTTCCAGCTAGGCTAAGGAAACACACTGCTTCTTTGGGGGGCCAGAAACAAAAGTCTCTTATCAGAAAACACAGAAAATAATCATTTAGCATCATGACCACTCGCTCTGGTTAACATTAGCCATTAGGTCCTTAGCTGGACAGAAGCTTCTTTGTCACCTTTTCATTTCACAAATCTGCTCCGTCTTGGGACTCACTAGTGAAGCTTGCTGGAAATTCAGAATCTCTAGATCCTTCCAATTTAATTACATCTTCAGGGGAAACACCTAGGGCCACTTTTTTTGTTTTAAACAACCATCCAAGTAATTCTTTTTATTTTTATTTTACGTATACAAGTCTAATGCCTGCATGTAGGTAAGTGCACTGGTGCTGTACAATGCCCTTGGAGGTCAAAGAGGGCATTGGATCCCCTGGAACTGGAGTTACTGACAATTGTTAGCCACCGTGTGGGTGCTGGGTCCTTTGAAAGAACCTGGGTCCTTTGAAAGCACAGCCAGTGCTCCTAATCGCTACGCCATCCCTCCAGTCTCCCATCCAAGTAATTCTTATGATGAGATATGTCTTTGAAACATGGATCTTGGGATTATGTTCATCTTTTTTTTTTTTTTTCAATGTTCATCTTTTTAAAAATTCATTCTTTGTGGCCGGTGAAATGGCTCTGCAAATTGAGGTGCCTGTCACCAAACCTGACAATCTGAGTTCAATCCCCAGGACCCACATGGTGGAAGGAAAGAACTAACTCCTACGAGTTGCTCTCTGACCTCCACATGTGTACACATACACACACTTAAAACTTTTAAAATCCACTCATAGCTCTGACTTTCTGTGCGTCTGATGACTAGAACATAGACTGAAAAGAAGTACACCATCTAGAGATGTAGCTCTGTTGCCAAAATGCTGGTCTAGCACACTAGGAAACCCTGGGTTTGATTTCCAACACTGCAAAAAGTCAGGCATGGTGGTGCACGGCACGCTGGAGTAGAGGCAGGAGGACCAGAATTTTAAGGTCATCCTCGGTTACATGGAGAGTTTGAGCCCAGCATGGGCTACATGAGACCTGGTCTCCTAATAAAACAAACACAAAAGTATACATAAGGGCTGCTAGGGCTGGAGAGATGGCTCAGTGGGTAAAGTGCTTGTCATACAATGTGACAACCCAAGCTCAATCCCAGGGACCCACATGGTGAAAAGACAGAACTCACTCCAACAAACTGTCCTTTCCACTCGTGCTGCGGCATGCATCCCTGCACTCACACACACACATCATACACACACAATAATTAACCAAACAATCAAGTTTTAAAAATAAAAAAGAACTAGCTTGCTGGAACCTAGCCTACTTTACGTGCTAGCCTTTTCATAGTATGAGAATGCGCAGGCTGTTCTTCACTGTTAACTGAACGCATTATCTTGGGGTATGGGTCCCAGGCATTGCCTTAAGCAGAGAAGCCACCTCTAAATTCAATGTTTGAAGCATTATCCTGTTCTCTACCTCAACGGTCAGGGAAAGGATGACCTTGTCCAGCAGGCACTAATCAAAGACCTGTGCGAACTGAATAGGCTATGTCTCAAGCTCAAAGGCAAGGCAGAAGCTTGGGAAGAGCTTCCTGGTGGTAGCCTAACATGCCAGTGGAGGGGTGTGCACATGCCTATTTCTCTCTGTGATGTGGACTGTAGATCTCAGCACAGAGAAGGCCCCCATCCCATGGATGGCAAGGGGTTCAAAGTGAGCAAATGAACAAATGGGCATGTGGCATTGACAAATAAAAACATCACATAATTGAGAGGAGTCTTTGGGGAGAGTAAAGCATTATTCAAAAATGTCCTCATATCCCAGATAGAAAACTTTTACCAGCTTTGAACCTGAATAATTGACATGGACATTTACTTTCAGAACAGGAAAAATGATCTCAAGAGGCCCATAAAAGTACAAAAAGAAAAGAAAATGAGCCAAGTGTGGCTTGGGGAGCAGCAGCAGCAGCACACAAGGTAACATCAATACATTCCCCCCTCCGCCCCAATGTGGCAAACACAGCACACTTCAGTGCCCTGATTCACAAGAACAAAGACTAAACAAGAAAGGAAGAGCTCAGGTAGAGGGAGGGCCAGACCCCAGTGGAGACAGAATGGAGAAGAGGGCAAGGACAGCATGCAACACATCATGCAGGGACTTGTGAGGACAGGTGGGCACTGGGCAGCACTTGGTGGGAACAGAGGACCAGAGCGAGAGACACACCTCAATCACACAAACAAACCGCTTACCCTCCGCTTTAGTGGTAGTACCATCTTTAAGCAAATTAAAAAACAAGGGAGGGATAACAGGGAACAGTTAGTAACATTCAGAAAATTAAAAAAGCAGAATGTTATTAGCTACTAAAAAAGCAAAATGTACAATTTAAAACAAAACCAAATGGGAATGAGTTCAACAGCAAAGCAGAGTCGGAAGCTGGTTATGGGCACCTTCCTAGCGTTAGCTCAGCAGTATCATGTGGTTTTGCTTTTGGAAAACAGAACAGTGACCCAGGCTGTGCCACTGTAGAAAGCATGACTTGGGGTCTCTGTTTTGACAACCGTGTCATCCTTGGAAAAGTTCCCTTTAAAATTCTAACAGGAGGCAGGAGTAGAGGAGGTACTAAAAGTTCAAGTTCCATGGAGTCACCCCAAGAGCAGAGGCGAGTGAGAAGCTGCGAGGCTGTAGCAAGGCCTATCCCAACTACACGCCCAGCAGCAGCGGCAGCTGTCACGCTCAGTACCTGCATCCAGGCCTACGTACTCCAAGTCTTCCCTCATGTGTCTGGACTCTAGAAGTTTGGAAAAGGATTATCATTTTTAATGCTACCTTCTGCAGTCAAGTGTCACTGGTCAACCTAAGAGACCACATCACATTCTCAGTAGGAGTATGCACTATTCATTCTGTGTTTGAGGGGACATAAGGAAAAGTAGAGGTGGTATTCTCAGGGGGGAGGGGGAGAGAATCTTCAGTGTGCCAGTCTTGTCTGAAGAGGTGACCCTGAGCTGAGAGTGTCCTCAACACTTCTCAAGGTTCAGCTGTCTGTCATCCCAAACTCCTGAGGCTTTCATCAGTACTGGGAGACTCTACTTCAGGCCTCAATTAAACACCCCAGATGTGCATAGGGAAACAAAGACCCTGAGTACTCTAAAGGCTGGTGTGGAAGCAATCAAACAAATGCTAACTGAAAATACTAAAGGTGAGCCTGGCATGCTGGTGCACACCTTTGATCCCATCACTCAGGAGACAAAGGCAGACAGATCTCTGTGAGTTCCAGGCCAGCCTGGTCTACATAGTAAGTTCCAGAACAGCCAGGACTGCATAGTGAGATCCTGACTCAAAACAGAACAAAACAAAAAAACCAACAACAAAAGAAAACTAAATGTGGATCAGAAGTATTGAAACCCAGGTACGTACTTGGATGGGGCTAAGATTTACACAACTTACTCACCATGGGAGGGAAGAACCATGACTTCTCCCCTGCTCAATCATTATAAAGCAAAATAACATCCTAACACTTGTACATTAAAGGTACAATAGTTACCATGGTGAAGAAAAGAGCTTGTTTGGGTATCTTTCCACGAGAATAGATGAGGTTTTGCCAGAGAAATACAAATGTCTGACACAACAGCTCCAGGATATATACCTCTCAAACTAATAATGTTCTCAACTCCTTTCCCCCACCTGGAAGAACCTTCCTGTAATTCCACTGATCCTCAGCACAGATCTGAGTCAGGAGGCTATCACTACCAGTACGTCACCGGCAGGAAATAGACTCAAAGTGTGTGAGGTGTGCTCATGGTTACAGGTAACCAATAGGACCTTCTTTGGGTACTCTTTTTTTCCCCGTGCATCCAGTTTCAAAGCATTTCAGAACTTTCATGTTAGAACTAACCTTGGAATTTCTTAGCAGGTCACATAAGTAACTCAGTTTCAGTAGTTCATGTTTTAATTTCACTCATTTCCTTAAATCCACAGTAGGATCAATTCAGCTAAGTCCTGAGATCTGGGGTTTTAATGACTTGGTAATCACAAAAATACATGAAATGTGCCACCAGCCTTACACAGAGAGGGTGTTAAGTGTCTGCTGGCAAGATGAGTAAAGGACCTACTATTCTGTCAGATACTAAGAATTTGGAAAATAATTAAAAGCAATTCTTTTAGGCAATCATTAGAGCAAGGGTGTATTCCTCCTAGGAGACATGTGACAGCTGCCTTTTAGATAGCCATGCACAAGTCAGTTAATGGGTCGGTCCATCACATACCTTTGGAATCATCCTGTCACCCCTAACTCTACTGTGACACTGAGCCACAGTAACTGGTGAGTCCCTTTACTGAGCTGTCTGGCTCTGTTCCCACCAGTGCTGGGAGGGGAAAAGCCAGAGCTGGTAGTATGGGACGTACTTGAGTATGGCTTGAATACTGGTTGGGCCTGCTGCAGAGGAAGAGGACATGAGGACTGCACAGTCTATAAATACACATGTTCTTACTGAACAGGATGAGGCTCCAGAGAAAGGGGACACTTGACAGAGAGTGGCTGGGAACTGTCCCCAAGTACATAGTCACTGATGCTTCAGTACCACCCGGCAACACTGAGGCTTCCCTCAGCCCACTAAGGGGCCAGGGTTGCTGGCACAGTAGGACAGGAGGGGGATCGGTTACCTAAAGATGCGTATGACCCTGGAGGCAATGCTGCCGCAGAGCTGAAGGCAGTAGAGCCTGATGATGATGAGACTTTGGATTTGGCACTGGCTGCTGCATTCACATCGATGTCACTTCGAGACCGCTGGAGGGATCCAGACGTTGACACAGATTTGGTACTAACTGTAGAGGCTTTAGTGAAGGAGAAAATGTCAAGAAGGGCCACACACCACTTCAAACACATACTGTTAGGTGACACTGCTCTGGTTTTCTTGGAAACCAAGACCAAGTTGTAACAAATGTTGGCATCCACAGGAGGGATGAAGCTCCTCACTGCCCTGAAGATGGGGTTCAGGGAACGGGAAAGAAACCAAGTGACCTCACCCATATGGCACCCAGTAATTGAAAACTATAGACCTAAGGATATGGCCCTCATGTAAAATGAATAAAGTGTCCCCACTCTCAGGACACAGGCCTCTCTAGTTTCAGGTAGCCACCAAGCTGCTGCCCTCACTCTCCTGTGTGATTTGAGAGAGGAGGAAGGGGGCGCTGACTGCATGGAGGTGGAGAGGGGAGACTACAGAGCCTGATTTCTGCCTGCCTAGCCATAGTGACAATGTGGGCAGCTGAACCTGGTCAAGTGGAGCCCTGCTGAGGACAGTCAGAGTGGAAAGCAAAATAACATCCTAACACTTGTACATTAAAGGTATAATAGTTACCATGGTGAAGAAGAGAGCTCAGTAACTCCAAACTTAGTGGGGCAGAGAATGGGCCACGGTATCTTGCACTGAGCTGGGGAACCCGCCTCCCACCCACGGAGCTCTGGTTGCAGTCTTACCTCTTGATGTGGTACTGCCAGTGGGACTTCTTTTGGCAGAAAGTGGCCGGCTGCAAAGAAAAGTGTACATGTGTACATTATCACAGGTATGCTTTACCTGTAGTGTATAACTACAATAGAGAACCTTACAGCAAAGCATTATTTTAGGGTTTTCAGAACTTTTCAGGCAATTCACTGTCTTATAAACCCCATTTGGAACAGAGACTTAGCAATATGTTTGGCATGATCTTTCAAACACAGAGCAAAACTAGAGACAGAAATCAGGAGTATAGAGTGGAGATGCTAATAGGCTAGGCACCAATTTTCAATGCCTTCCCTTTCCAAACCTGTCTTGGGAGACTCCCTAAAACATTACTGTGTACACTTCACACTACTCTATATTCACTATGTTATTCTAAAACTATTCCAGAACACTACAGAAAATAAAGAAAATTGGGGCTGGAGAGATGGCTCAGTGGTTAAGCACAGTGACTGCTCTTGCAGAGGACCTGGGTTTGAGTCCCAACAACCATCCGGGAACTCCAGATTCAGGGGATCCGACGCCCTCTTCTGACCTCCATGGGCACTGCACAACATGGGGGCACCAACCTACATGCAGGCAATATACTCATACACATAAATTAAAAGTAATAAATAAGTTTTTTTTTAAAAAGAAAATAAAACTACATTTGGCAGAGCCCAAGGCCACCAGTTTCCCACCTGCCTCACATTATCTTACCTAGAACCAGAATCTATCTGAAGTCTGGGGAACCCTTAACAGGTATAAAACACAGTTGGAATTTGTGTCTTTGTGTACAAAAAAAATTGTTATTATTTTTGAGACACTGTCTATGTAGCCCTGGCTGGCCTGAAACTGGCCATTATGTAGACCAGACTTGGCCTGGAATTCACAGAGATCCACATGCTTCTACCTCTCCAATGCTAGGATTAAAGGTGTGTGCAACCATGCCCAGCTAGTAAACTTTTAAATACACAACACTGTTGTTGGTGACCCACAAAAGCGAGGCCCTTACTTGAGACTCTCCTGAGAGCTGGAAGAGGAGCGGTCTGACTGAGGCAGAGACACAATGCTGTCAGAGTTCTTCAAGTGGGACTGCAGGGCCTTCTGATAGGAGGACTCCAGAGTGTGGTACAAGTGCTCTGCTTCTCTGCTGAAGTGACTGTGGAAGCCCCAGTAGCATCTAGGGAAGAGACAAACTCCTGGTCTAGTCAATGCATACTCAGGGGTTTCCCACTGAACTCATGAGCATACCACGCAGCATCTTGGGGGACCAGACTCTTCCACTTCCCTGTTTTGATGGTTCAGGGGATCAAATCCAGGGCCGTACATATGCTAGATAAGCTCTTTACCACTATGCTACATCCCTGGCCCAAAGACAGTAAGTCTTAACATCACAATTCTGGTTACAGTCACAGGGCAAATGATCCCTAGGGAGGACTGGATACTGGGGCTGTGGTCACATGGCTGAAGAATTTTCAGTTCCACCAGGAGTTGGAAACTAAACATTATCACCATGACACCCTACTTACAGTCAATCCGATTCCCCCCTCCTACGATTGATGTTGCTGAGCAATCATTTGATACTTGCAAACATGATGTCAGGAGGAGAATTCCTTGTGACTGAGTTCTTCATGGTAAATCAGTGAAGCACATTGGATCATGATGTGGCTTTTAAAGGGCTTAGCGAATGAATACAGAGTAGGAATGCAAATGTTTTTCTCATTTATGTGATCATTTCTCCCAAGTTTGAAAATAAACATTCTATCATTAACCTCACTCCTATTTATACTCAGTATCATTAGTCCAACCACCCAAACAACAAAACAACAACAAAAAACTTAGAGGAACACTCTAAAATGGACTTTTGGAGTCTCACTTGAAAGTCATGATTAACAAAATATGCTCAGGTAACTGAATTGATTCTAGTAAAGCAAGCCACATAGGTGTCTGAGTGGCAAACAGGGCACAAGAGAAACTTACTTTCTGGCTTCTATCCTTGCTTCAGAATCGGCATCATGTATTCCTTTCTTTATTGTTTCAGCTAATACTGATATGTGTCTAGACATTTAGGAAAGAAGGCAATAACACCCATTAAATATATGGCTTTCTGTGGATGAAAATAGGCATGTGAATCAAGTTCAAAACATCAACATGGCCTTCAGGCCAACATCAGTCAGTTAACACACAGCTTAGAGGTCTCTCTTGGGGCCTTGAACTTTTCACAGTGGCTGCTTCCCTTTCCCAACCCTCACCTCACTCTCACCTTAAGGACACAGATAATCTTACTGTCTTCTGTGAGCTTTTAAATCATAACTGATTCTTTTGTTTTTTTTTTTTTGTTTTATGTGTATGTGTGTATCACCTGCATGTAGGTAAGTGCACCCGTGTCATGTAATGCCCACAGAGGAGAAGAGGCTCCATCAGATCCCCTGGAACTGGAGTTACAGACAGTTGTTATTTTTATTTTATGTGTATGTGTGTATTGCCTGCATGTAGGTAAGTGCACCCGTGTCATGTAATGCCCACAGAAGTCAGAAGAGGCTGTTGGATCCCCTGGGACTGGAGTTACGGACAGTTGTAAGCTGCCATGCGGGTGCTGGGATTCAAACCTGGGTCTTCTGTAAGAACAACCAGTGTTCTTAACCTTTGAGCCATCTCTCCAGCTCCAATAACTGATTCTTTTTTAAACACACTTATTTAGCCTAATCTTTAATGAATCTGAACAATAAAACCCTATCTTTCCATGGCCAGAGTTAGTTTCTATAGAGATTATGGAATGCTAACAATAATCTTAAAATTAAAGAGGTGGTCTGCACATTTCTGCAATGAAACAGTGTTTTTCTTTCAAGTTTCATTGGCATTTAATTGTTAATAAGTGTTTAAGAGAAAATGGCTTGGGGCTAGAGAAATGCCTCAGCTGTTAAGTGCACTAGCTGCTCTTGTAGAGGACCTGGTTCAGTTCCTAACACCAACATGGTGGCTAACAACAATCTGCCAAGGGATCCAACACCCTCTTCTGGCCTCCAAGGGCACTGCACACACAGGTAAAATTACATACATGCTGGCAAAACACTAATACACATAAAATGATAGTGATAAGAGAAAAGGTCTTGCTATGTTGCATAGGCTAGCCTCGAACTTATGATCCTTTTGCCTCAGCTTCTCAAGCAGCTGGGACCACAGGTGTGTACCATTACACTAAGCATAATGGGAGAATTTTTTAAAAATCAGTTAACCATTTTATAAATAGGTATTATCTTTAGTTATAGTCTATCCTAGATCAGAAAACAAATCAAGGACTGGAGAGATGGCTCAGCAGTTAAGAGCACTTCCTGTTGTTGTAGAAGACCTAGAGTTTGGTTGCTATCATCCATGTGGTGACTCACAACAACCTGTAACTCCACTACAGGGAGAGTCGATGCCTCAGACCTCCCCGGGCAACCACACTCTCTCTCATACATATAATTTTAAAAACAATAAATATTCATTTATAAAAAGAAAAAAATCACCAACATGCTCAGAGAACATTTAACAGTTTTTTTGTTTTGTTTTGTTTGTTTTATTTTATGTGTATGTGTGTATTGCCTGCGTGCAGGTAAGTGCACCCGTGTCGTGCAATGCCCGTGGAAGACAGAGAGGCTGTCAGATCTCCTGCAACTGGAGTTACGGACAGTTGTTAGCCACCATATGGGTGCTGGGATTCGAATTCGGGTCTTCTGCAAGAACAACCAGTGTTCTTAACCGCTGAGCCATCTCTCCAGCCCCATCTAACAGAGTAAGACCACAGTCTCCAAAGTGAATGGTTTGAACAAATTCATAGAACAATGGTACTGACCAATCTGACCTGCTTTCAAAGTCCTTGCTTCATTCCTTCCTTAACTCCTTCTGTAAATATTCAGGGATCACCTAAACGCAGCACTGACAGAGTTGGTGAATGACCATGTTGAGGCTACATCTGAACTGCAAAATCAACACACCATAAAGAGGATATAATGCCCAAAAGGCAAAAAAGAGAAAGTATTTAAAAAGATAGGCTATCTTCTTAAGTAGCCTATTTTCATATGAAATTTTATCTCTGGGAGGCTTGGCTGTGTGTTTTCACTGAGCACTGTAGTGTGGAATTGGATTGCTAGTACTTAAAACAGCACTATTAATCAAGTGCTAGAGCTAAGTAGTAATAGGGACACTCATGGGAACAAAAGAAATAAGTTAATTCATAAGGCCTGTTGCTGTGGAACTGGCCTTCATCCCTTTCCCTTATCAACAGATAAAGAAGGGCTGGAGAGATGGCTCAGCATTTAAGAATGCATTCTTTTTCAGAGGATCTGAGTTTGAATCCTAGTACCCATGTCACGAGGCTCACAACTGCCTGTAACTCCAGCTCCAGGGGATCCAAATGCCCTCTTCTAGCCTCTGCAGACACTGCACTCAAGTATACAAGTACATAAATACACATACAGACACACACACACATGCATACATATAATTTAAAAAAATTTTTTTAATTTTATTTATTATTTTTATTTTATGTGTATGTGTATATTGCCTGCATGTAGGTAAGTGCACCCGTGTCGTGCAATGCCCGCAGAGGACAGAAGAGGCTGTCAGATCCCCTGGAACTGGACTTACAGACAGTTGTTAGCTGCCATATGGGTGCTGGGATTCAAACCTGAGTCTTCTGCAAGGACAGTCAGTGCTCTTAACCGCTGAACCGTCTCTCCAGCCCTATTTTTTATTTTTTATGAGTGTATTGCCTGTATGTATGTAAGTGCACCTGTGTCGTGTAATGCCCACAGAGATCAGAAGATGGTGCTGAATTTTCCTGGAACAGATGTTGTTAGCCACCATGTAAGTTCTAGGAATCAAACCCAGGTCCTCTGCAGGAGCAATCAGCGCTCTTAACTGCTGAACCATCTCTCCAGCCGCCACATACACATAATTTTAAAAACAGAAATAAATCTTTTTAAAAAGGGAGGGAAAAAAATCCACCAGGGACAAAATGATGCCAAGATGCCCAGGTACAAAGTAGCCATTGACCTACATGCTATGTGGGAAAATTCCTTTGGAATATAAGGAGGAAATTATAAAGGGAATACTGTCTACATGACTAACAAACTCTAGACTCCTGTAAGAACCCTAAAACATCCTGTTCTTTTCTCACCTGGTAGATAGCCTGAGTTTTCACAATAGTGCTTCCAATTAAAACATTTGCTTTGAGAGTTCATACTCAGTTCCTGTGGTTATTTCTATAATCACTAGGACACGTTCCCTCACATTCGTTATCACTAAGATGAAAAATGCTTTACAAACTATAAGATAAACATTCAAAACTGTAGCACAACACTACTATCTACTGCTTCTAAACTCAATTCAGAATGACAGACATCTAAAATTGACAGAATCTAAAAAAAGTCAAAGATGGAACCTCAAAATTAATTATATATTAAAAATAATATATAAAAATTAATTAATTATAAAGACAAGCTTCTTCAGGAATTTTGCCACAATGCTACTTTTCAATTCTGATGATGTGAAAGTGGTCAGCTACAAACCTGAATAAAGACAACTGCTAGCTAACATAGATGGAGCAAAATCTCTCTAATGAGTGAAATTCCTGTAAAGTATCTAGACTGAGGACAGCGTTAGACACTAAACAACAGAACAGAACAAGCACCAGCCGAGCCTCCAGCTCTGTAATCATGATAATGAAGACTAGTATTTCTTTGGGGAGAGCATACTATTTTTTTTTTTTCTTGAGACATGGTCTCTAGACTAAGCTGATTTCAAATTCCCTATGTAGCCATGAATGACCTTGAACTTTCAATCCTTCTGCCTCTTGGAGTTGGGATTACAGGCATGTGCTACCACACCGGGTTTATATGGTGGTGAGGGATGGAAGCCAGGGCTTTGTGCATGCAAAGTGAGCTCTTGACCAACTGAGCTACAATCCCAACAGCATACTAACATTCTAAAGGATGTCAGTTCCTAAAGCTTCTACCAGTACGAAGTGGCTCACATCAGCAGAAACCAGTCATGAAACACATGCTTAGATTCATTCCCTTCTTACACAAGGTGGGCTACACCACTTGCTGAAGCACACAATCCCAAGACTCTATCTAGACTGCAGTTTCAAATCACAGATGCTCACCTTTCCAGTGAATGTGTCTGCCATTCTTGTAAAAGTAAATCTAAAAATTCAAAACAGCGCCTGAAAAGCGGTAAGAAACAAACAGAACTTAGTAAAGAGCCTGTTAGTGAAAATGAAAACAACTTTTTGCTTATATGTCCTAGTTTATCTTTTTAAAATTAGTAAGTTTCTTTTCATTGTCATGATTAAAAACAACAACAAAAAAAATGGAATGTAGAGAAGGATTAGAAATGACTGAAGACCAGGTCACCGAGATGGCTCAGTGGATAAAGGCACTTGTTGCTAAGCCTGATGATGTGAGTTCAGTTCCTAAAACCTATATGGTGGAAGGACAGAACTGACTCCCACAAGGTGTCCTCCAAATTCCACATGCGCTGCTCCCCAAATGTGGGAGAGTGTGTGTGTGTGTCTGTGTGTGTGTCGATATAGAAATAAAGAACTGAAGATGAAGTAACAAAGCACCAATGGCGACCACAGGGACTCAGAAATAGGCACAAGAATTTCCCTCCAACCAGAAGGCTAGTGGGGGACTGAACCCAGATTATCAGGCTTGGCAGCAAATAACTATGTACTGAGACATCTCTCTGGTACCAAAATATTAAAATCTTCATCTTGGCCCAAGAAGCATTTATTAAAGTGATTTTAAATGATACTAAAAATTTCAAACACTAATTTTTATCCATGGAAGGAGATTTGGTATTGGTCTTAGGTTTCAGATACTTTCGAGATAATAAAAAAAAAGCACTTCCAACATTTACCTTCTTACTGCAACAGACTTAGAGGTACAGTTGCTTGTTATGACAGGAATTAGCCGAGGGATGTGCGTGTGCTTTGGAGAGAAATGGAAAACAGAGGTGAGCACTTGCAATACAGAGCCAAAACAAGACACAAGAGCCACTGCTCATGTCCCTGACCTACTTCTAAGCAACTGAAATGTCACCATTTAAGAAGGAAACAGAATTTCATTGAAACGTCACAGGCCATTACAATATTGAGAGAGCCAGGAACAGAAAAAGGGTGAAACAGAAATCAGTCTAAAGTCATAGCAGTCACTGAGATCTGTGTGTGTTCAGAGACTCCTCATGTCAATCCAACCTGATACTGTTTCAATGGAATATACCAGTGGTTTATGCTACAAGCAAGTCCAAGCAAGAGCAGTAAGAACTAAACATAACACCATAAACTGTGAGGATCAAGAACACTCTGAATTAAAGATTCTTCAAATTACATGTACGTATTTTTATTTGTGTACATGGATGTGTTGATGTATCTGTGCACACACACATAGTGGCATGCATGTGGAGGTCAGAGGACAACTTGTAGGAGCCATTTCTCTCCTTCCACCATGTGGGTCATGGGGATTGAACTCAAGTCCTTGGGCTTGGTGGCAGTGCCTTTACTCACTGAGCCATCTCACCATCCTGAGTTAACCATACTATCACATTCCCAGGTTTCAAGAGTTGTCTCTGGGGAAAAACTAGCCCTTAAAGATAGGGATGGGGGAATAGAGAAAAGTTCTGTTTTAAGCCTTTTTGAACTACTAGGTTTTCCTGAAAATTAATACCTGGGCAGTTACTTAAATTTAAGTAAGTGCTATAAAAGTGGTGCTGGGTAAAGAGCCAAACCATAAGCAAAACCAGCTAAAACGGAAGGACTGGGCTTAGGAAAGGAAAATCGAGAGTGGTAGAGGGCAGACAAGAGCCAGAAGACAAGGCCAGCAGTGGAAGAGGAGGTCCAAATACTTAGAACCAATGGTGGGCAAGTCCAAGACCAGCCTCTTAAGCAACTGTGAGCCCACCCACACGTCCATGACAGATCCTACAGAGCTTACATGCTGCCATCTCATGGGGGGAAAGGACAGTGTCATATACATACAGTGACTGCGGTGAAACAGTATTACCTCTGCTATGTCCTGCCAGCCATCAATATGACCACTTGAGTGTTTTATGAGTGGGCCTAGGACACACTTACCCGGATGATTAGTCTAACAGCTACTACACCAGAAGTGGCCATAATTTTGGCACTGTTTGGGATTAAGTTAAAGATAGTTGGCATGATGGCTTCAGCTCCATGGTCAAATTTGTTCCCCAGAACTGATGATAGATGCCTGCAACAAGAAAGGAGCCTGGGCTATAGTCACATCTTATACACAGGGAAGAACAGAAACCTCTTAACTCTGAGAATCTTCCTTCATAGTTCTCTAGGACCAAAGACAAGGGTCAAAGATACTTTCAAAATGAAGTCTAAAATGTGCAAGTGGAAAAGTTGGCAAAAGCCATTAGGCAAAAAGTTTTTCCTAATCAGCTCCAACTGAGTATTAAAATAACAAAAACTCCAAACCCCAGCAAAAGCAATACTTTTAATTACTAATAATAACTTTAAAGCAATACTTTTAAATACTAATAAAACATTAAATATGAAAAAACCCTCTTGCCCCTTTTTATTTTACACATGAAACATGATGCTTTAACATCTGCCTACCCCTAAAACTTTAATAATTACAAGCCCCTCAGCTGCTGCAGCTGCTATATAAAGTAATCTAGCAGTCTAATACATTCAAACACAAAGTTTAAGTTTAGCTAGTATAAAACATTATTTCAGTCAATGTTCTTTGTTTTTCTTTGCTTGCAGTTCCAGGTATTACCTAGGAGCTATGTGCATGCTAGGCAAGTATTTTCCCACTAACCATATGCCCAGCCCCTGTCTGTACTTTTGTTTTTGTTTTCTGAGACAGGGTCTCCCTGTAGCCAGCCCCAGCTGTCCTGGAACTACATAGACCAGGCTGGCCTCGAACTCACAGAGATCCGCCTGCCTCTGCCTCCCAAGTGCTGGGATTAAAGGCATGTGCCACCTGGCTTCCCTGTCTGCACTTTTATGTCAGCATACTCCTCTAGAAACAAGCAAACATTCCAATATTCATTTTGTATCTTGTAAGCAAAAAAAAACAATGAAAAATCTGAAAACTAGGATTCTGTAAAATTTCATTTTTTCTTATTTATAGTAACAGAGGCTTCAGAGATATGTCACTGAGTGAAACTTAAAATCCATCATACCCTACATAACAGGGCAGGAGCTACTGTAACAGTATGGATGGTGTGCTAACAGGCAAGGGCCTTGGAGATCAGTCAGAGATTCCATGAAGCCACCCCAAAGACATGTCAAGCGGTCATCTCTGAAGCTCTGGGAGAGACTATTTACAGTGTTGGGGAATGTGGCGCATTGTGGTCCTTACCCCAACGTGATACAAGCTTCCCGCACTACCTGAGACCGCAGGTCCTTAGCAGAGAGTTTAAAAGCTCCATCCAAAAGGCGCAAGTGTTGAAAGAAGTTATCGTACTCAGCAGCACCAGCCAAGAGTAAAGATCTAATCTTTTTTAGCTAATGGGAATGGAGCAAAGTCAAAGATACACAAAATAGTTCTTAGCAATGAATATACATAACAAAAGCCATCAAATACAAGAGACAAACATTAAAGTTAAAAGATAATAGATATCTATTTTAAGAAGATTTTAATTTTGTGTGTGTGTGTGAGAGAGAGAGAGACAGAGAGAGAGAGACAGAGAGACAGAGAGACAGAGAGAGAGAGAAAGAGAGAGAGAGAGAGAGAGAGAGAGAGATCCCCAGGAGCTGGAGTTAAGGTGGTTGTGAGCCATACAGTGTGAGTGCTGGGAACCAAACACATCCTCTAGAGGAGCAGCAAGTGCCCTTAACTGTCAAGTCATGTCTCCAGTCCTAGAAGCCATTTTTGCCAAGACGATTTGACCAGGTAATTATTACCTTAGATATTATTACCTATAAATCACAATGAACAAATCAGATCACAACTAAGGCCCCATTTTAAAATGCAGTACCTGCGATAAATAAATTCTTTTTTACTGAGAAATATGTTTGTATATTTAGGTTTATGTACTAACAGTATCTAAGTACCACTGTGCTGTAAAAAGCAGAGTTTTCCATATCCCACTTCAACTGCCTTTTATTTAATCGATCAAAACAGGAATCATTCCTACACTATTTCCATATTTTCCTCTAGTGTATCATTAACTGGTTAGTCTGAATTTGAAATAGAATATAATAGCAATTTTATCATCACCTTGCTGGTCAACCACTGTAAAGAAGATACATCCTAACTTTAATGTTCAACCTACATGCTTTCCTTCTTTTTAAAATTCTTTTTGTTGTTGTTGGTGATGGTGGTGGTGGTGATGGTGGGGTGTGTGTGTGTGTGTGTGTGTGTGTGTGTGTGTAAGATGAGTCAGTATATTTGAATGTATATGAGCGAAGGTACGCACGCATCAGTGTGTATGTGGAAGTTCAAGGACAATCTTCAGGTATTGGTTCTTGTCTGTCCACCTTGTTTGAGATCAGGTCTCTTCAGGTTGCTGTATAAGACACACTGGCTGGATTGTGAGGTTCCTGGAGATTCTTGGGTCTCTGCCTTCCATCTCCCTTAAGTACACAGGGTCTGGCTTTTAAGTGGGACCTAGGAATCTGAACTCAGATGTCAGGCTTACACAGCAAGAGTTACTTGCTGAGCAATCTCCTCCCCCTTCACTTAATCCACCTTTGTTTTATTTTTATTGGGGGCAGGGGTTATTTTTGAGACAAAGTCTCCCTGTAGCCCCAGCTGGCCTGGAACTCAATTGTAGATCAGGCTGGCCATGATCTCAGAGATCTGCCTGCCTCTGCCTCCTGAGTGCTGGGACTATTTTTGCTACACCTTGCCTGGCCCTTAGCCCACTTTTAAAAACAGAAGAGACACATTCTTTAGCAAGTGATAGGTATAATATATATACACATATATAATTTTTAGCAAGTGATATATTTATGGAATGTGTGTGTGTGTGTGTGTCTGTGTGTGTGTGTGTGTGTGAATATTGAAGGAAATTCCCTGAAATGCTATTTCACTGCCAAACAACTGCAGAATGAAGTACTAGGGCCATCGGACATTCCACTGGCAGGTCTTTGCGAAGAGAATACCAGACATGTAAAAGTGTAAGTTGGTATGTTTTAAAGTAGAAGTAGGGCTGGGTGGTGGCACAGGAGCATAACTTCAGCACTTCACAAAACAAATTTTAAGCCCCAAACCAAAGCAAAAAATAATCTTTTAAAAAAAAAAAAAAAAAAGCAAAACATACAGTAAAGGTAAAATGTAAATATGGCAATTTCTATTTAAAATATTCACTATTTAAGACTCAGTGCTATCAGCCCATCTTGTAACAAAGCATTCTGTGTAAACAAACAGAGCTGGCCTCACGGGAGCTGGCACTTACAGCATTTACTCTCTGTTCCCAGTCATGCTTGTCGTCAGACAGTATTTCTCTAATTTTGTTTATGGATTCTTCTAGGTCTCGGCTGGAATAAATCTGTAAGCAAAATTAATTTACAATCAACAGAAGACAATGCAGAATTTAACATGATTTAAAAAAAAATACATGACATCAAGTGTAATGAAAATAATCTTTTAAGAAGTGGTGAGCAATCCTCTGGGCAAGCTCCTGTTGACAGCAAACAGAAGCCCCTAGATTTGCTGCCACATGTGAGCAACCTTGCCTTGAACACAGCTGTACCATAAATGCAAAGGAGATTTCACATACAAGAGAAAGCAACCAACGTCCGAGGTGAGTTGTCCATTACTGCCTGGGGTATTACCTATAACATCACCTTAATGCCTCTAATCCTAGAAAGATTTTGAACTTTTCATCTTATTTATCAGAACTGTATGTATGACACATGTTCGAGTAGAGGCACACATGTGCCATGGGGTGAGTGGAGGTCAGAAGACAACTTTGGGGAGTTGGTTCTCTTCTTCTACTGTGGGAACTGGAAATCAAACTCAGGTCTTCAGGCCTGCATGGCAAGTTCTTTTACCTGCAGAGCCAACTAGGTTGTCCTCTAATTCTAAACACTTTCAAGTCTATTTGCTCATTAATCCTATAAGACAGCAACCAAGAATAAAGGTCAAGTTCTAAGACTGAACCTCAGCCTGTGGAGCCTGCACTTGATCTGCACATGTATGGCACCCTGGGGAGCAAGAAGAGCTACAAGTACCAAATACTCAAATGCTGTAGGAATCCAGGGAACAGTGCACCGAGGTTGAGAAGCATCAGCCCTGGTTCGCAGAAGGCGCTGAGGCAGCAAGTGGGCTGCAGCACTTCATCTGTTAAGTGGCTGACTGAAGCATCAAAGATGATAGAACATCAAACCATTCTCTTTAGCTTCTCAGACATGAAAACCTTTTACATTTAGAATCTCTCCTAAGGGGGGCGGGGATCCTTAAATAAATGTGTCCTTATCTCATCTAACCTAGTTATCCTTTTTTTTCTCTTTTCTGTGACCCAATAAACTTATTTCATTCTAGAGTTAACTTCTTTCCCGTTCTTCCTGAGAGATCATCTAGGGCCTGGACTTCTGTTCCTCTTGGCTTAAAGGGCTCTCATACTTGTACCCCAGATCTCCTATAGTTCTGGCAGCTCCAATATCCACACCTGCTAAAGAATTCTGCTCGGAGCAGTGCTGTGGTTTGAGTAAGTGTCCCCAAAGACCCACTGTGTAAAACAGCATAGTAGCTGGGGTGGCACTACAGACAGGGAGGAACCTTTAAGAGGTGGTGGTGTTGGGTCAGTGGGGAGGCACATCCTTGGAAGGTAGTTTTGAGAGGGTTGTTGTGAAGCCTCTACTGTCCCCACCCATCCTCTCTCTGCTCCTGTTCTGATGTGCAGTAGCTTTCTTCTAACTGCCATCTGCCTGGCTGAGGTAACGCAGTCAAGGGATGGCTCTCCCTGAGCCTGGGCCACACACATGCACTTTGGACTCTGAACCTCTAAAATTATGAGCTAAATGAACCTTTTTTTTTTCTTTATAAAGTTAGTTGCCATAGGCATTTCATTGCAGTAACATGAAATTGACTGATATATACATATTTGAAAAATGAAACATGAAGACTGTTGCTAGCTCAGTTTTGATAGCAGCGCAGACCCACACTCACCTGTACTACAGGTACATCATCAAAGGCTTTAATAAAGTCCTCTTCATCCACAGCACCAGCACCTTCTTTTGCAGCTGTAAAAAAGGACCCATTTTAAAACAAAGACAATGAATACCTAAACTGTACATATGACATACTTAGAGAAATCTGAATATACATGAATGAAGGATTTTGGAACATTTAAAACTATTTATGTATTTGAGTGTGTGTGTGTGTGTGTGTGTGTGTGTGTGTGTGTGCTCAGAAGGTCAGAAGGGCTGTCAAATCCCATGGAACTGGAGTTACAGGCAGTTGTGACCCATGTGTGGGTCCTCTGCAAGAGCAGCATGCATTCTGTTCTTTACTGCTGAGCCATCTCTCTAGCCCCTTAAAACATTATTTTAGTTTAGTTTAGTTTGTTTGTTGAGACAGGTCTCCCTGGAGTCCCAGCTGGCCTGGAATTTACTGTATAAATCAAATTGGCCTCAATCTCAGAGATCTGCCTGCTGGGATTAAAAATGTGTGCCACCATGCCTGGGTCCTCAAATTTTTTTGTTTTTGAGAAAGGGTCTCCCTATAGCTCCTCGCTACATAGACCAGGCTGACCTCCAAGTCACAGAGCTCCACCTGCCTCTGCCTCCCAAGTGCTGGGATTAAAGGCACGTGTCACTCAGCATTCAAAACTTTTCTTAAAGCCTTCATTGCTTAGAGTGTTGTAGGATGGACTAATGTTACAATAAAGCACAGTAACTCCAGAATGCCATGTGTACTGGTTGAAAGCCACTTAGGGTGAATACTATTTTAAGCAGGCAAAGTTGGGTTTTAAAAGATTTAGATTGTATAAATTACATTAAGACTCTTGATACAACAGAAAATTTAATTCTTTAGGGACTAAGATTATGCTATTGTTGGGAATACAGCATGATACATTTATGAAACAGGCCAAAAGAGTTTCAGTTTCACTCCAATGTTATATTAATCTCAAAACATTTCCATCTCCTAAAATTCAAGATAACTGTCAATTTTTAAAAGATTTGTTTTCATTATTGTTTTTTATGTGTCTGTGTGAATGTATGTATGCCGCATGACTGTGAGCACCAGTAGAGGCCAGAAGAAAGCATTGGATTCCCTGGAACTAGAGCAACAGGCAGTTGTAACATGAGAGCTGGGAACTTGGGTCCTTCAAAAGAGCAAGTGTTCTTAACCACTAAGCTCTCTCTCTCTAGCCCCTCAATGTTTGATTTAACAATCAGTTCCAAGTTTCTCCTACAAAGCTGTTCTAAGATGCTTTATCTATGTAAAAGTTCCTGCGGCTATTGGGAGAAAGCCATTTTTTAATAATATGAACTCTGTGCATGACAAGTGACACTTTATTATTTTTCACAATAACAGTTTTTACACTGGTCATCTCTGAAACCCCCACTAGTGATTGATACTGATTAGCACATCTGTTTTTCTTATGAGACATGTAACCTGGTGTCTAGGATACTTTTAAAAAGAAAAAATTAAAAAGGCTTTCAAGACAGTCTAGGTGGCAGTCAATGTGTTCACTGGAGTGGCAAAGCTGAGGATGTCAGTCACATGCTATGGTGTGGAGCTGAGTCTTCCTTTGCTTTAGCATGAGCATAGGGCCTGATGAGCAGAGAGAGTCTAGGCTGCTATGTCAAGTACCACGTAAGCAACAGCCTGTGGGCCCACAGAATTTGACAAGCGGCAGCTTTAGGAATAGTCAGGACTGTAGTGTTAAGTCAAGAAAGGATGAGAGCAGGGCTGAGGGCAAGGGCCCTTATCTGTAAAACTGACCTAGTCGGGATTTCTGGAAGCACTGTGTGATAAAGAAAGAGGCCCTGTGTGCTCCTTACATACATAGCTGCATCCTCTTAGTGGCTTTCCTGGAACCCAGAATCTTGTATGACTACAGCCCACCCTGCAAGTGCCCCTGCTGATATGGTACAACTCCCCTGATACAAATGTCCCCCAAGTCTTTATGACACAACCTTGACCATGAGCCTCATCCCCCATCCCAAAGGAAATAAAAATATAAAAACCCTGAGTCTGTGAGACAGGTCAACTCTCCAGACTAGGGGTGGCGAGGGGGAGCCCATCTCCTTCAGCCCCAGAGCCGTGTGGAGATGCCCTGTAAGGTTTGCTCCTGATAAAACTGCTTGTTCTATAGAGATCAATTTCTACCTTTCTTTTCTCACTTCATAGTTCCTTACATTGTGGGTGAGGGACAGGCAGGAAAGCAGTATTTGGATCATACAGGAATTGGCTAAGCCTTGTTTGTGGAACTGGTGTTAACTAAGGGCAGATCAAGAACAACAACAAGAAAAAAAGGCATTTAAAAGAAGAAGGTAAAACTGGTGAAATGGCTCAGTAGGTAAAGGAGCTTGCTGCCAACCTTAGCTCAAGCTCCAGAACCCACAAGGTGGAAAGAACTGACTCCTGCAAGCTGTTCTCTGACCTGCACATGCATGCCATGGCATACCCATACCACATACTTACATACACACAAACAAAACAATAAAAAGAAAAGTAGCTTTGATATGTGCTACAAGGGAGATGAAACACTGAAAATGTTCCAATGAAATGGGGAATTTTAAGTTAAATAAATATAAGTTCAACCACAAAATTAACTTTAAAACACACACACAAAAACACCAAAACAACAACAACAAAAACAAAACCAGATTGTGTAGCATAACAAACATAAGAAGCAAAGCAATGCTTCTGCTCTTCCTGTAACCAGGCAGCTCTCAGGAACAGACCCTGAGCTGCAGTCTACTCAAGAGATCAACATTCCAGGAGAGACCACCAGGGGGCAGCACTCCAATGCTCTCCTTCCTCAGGCTTTCCCTGAGCCAGTTAGCTCAAGCTTTCAAGGCTGGGCAAGTCCACCCACTTCCCTCCTCTCAGCTCCAAGACCCAAGGCCAACAGCAAACAGAGTTTTAAAGCAGGGATTACACAACTTTCTAGAGGTAAAAAGTAAGAAATGGGTGTGTAAATTTAAAATTTGATAGCAAAAGAAGAGGTGTAAACAACAAGAAGTCAAACTAAAACGAGGTGGAGAGATTTTTAAAAGAAATCTCTACAAAGCAGTTTCCAAAACTTTGATACTTCCTCTCCTACTCTTTATAAATTTTATTGTAGTGCAGGAGAGTGTGTGCATGTGCCATTGTCTAAGCCAGAGGATAACTCTGTGGAATCTTTTCTTTCCTTCAACCTTTCTGTGTATTTCAGGGTTTGAACTCAGGCCACCAGCAAGTCCTTGTACAGCAAGTGCCTTTACCTGCTGAGCCATCTCACTGGCTCTCCTACTGTTTAATCCAGTACTCATGTGGCTCTTTACAAGGAAAAAATGCTACATGTAGTAACAATTTAAAGACTAAAGGCGCAATCTGGCTTCTGGATATTCCTGGTCTTAATAAATGGAAAACGCAGTTCCAGATGAATCCAGATGACCAAGCAGGCCATACAGGTGCTCTTGGTCTTCATCCTGGCTGTGCTCTCCTTGGCTGGCTTCACTCTCCCGCTGTCTTGCCTCACCAGAATGTGACAGAAGTCCACATGCCTTAAGCTAGGATTACCAGCTCATCAGCATCAACATACCAAGGCCAAGCCAATTAAAGACAGCAGTAAAGTACACACAGGGACTAGCTCATGCCCAAGGGACTCAGCAAGCAAGAACTGTGACAGTGGGCCCCAGAACACCACATAAGTACAGGTTCTCACCCGAGGACTTGGATCCAAGACTGGACGACACAAGCCGACGGGTGGTCCCCATCCCAACATTCCTCCGGGAGCTTGGTGGAGCCTTGGACGACGTGGAGCTGGCAGAGGAAGGCCTGTTTCCATCTACAGAATCTTCATCATCAAAATTCTTATCTGAACAGAAAGAACAGAAGTCATTTCTTTAAAGTGGTTTTTTTTTTTCACCTATACATAAAATAATCACTAGTATCAAAGATATCTGCTCTTCTGGACTTTGAGCTATCTCAGCAGGGTATGGGAAGCTTTGGAGAAGCCCAAAAGCAGCTGCAAAGATAATGTTTGCCGTCATGGAACTGCAACAGTCTCCCACTCCTACTGGAGAAAAAAAATCTGACTCTTTTCCCAGGAATTTATTTTTCATTTTGGAGGGA